CCTACAACAGGGACTGTTTATTTTATGGTGTTACACACTAAAAGTTTTTTCCCTGGTATGTAAAAATTATTTTGTATCCCTAAAGATATTTTCTCTGCATAGCCCTTATTTGTGAGGTCAGTTTCCTCTGGTTTGAGGTACTGTCTGTGATGTCCCTACGGCTCATCCTGAGAACCTCATCGGCTGCTGTATGTTGCGGAATGCAAAACCACTCAGTATTTTTTAATACTAAGGAGAATATATTGTGAATACAACTATGTACCGGTATATAGAAATATCATTAGGTATGTAATTATATTTGTATTTTACTTAGCTCTAGCCTATTCTCATTCTCCTGAGAAAGAGGAACATTTCCAAGAAATATACAGAGGAATTAAGATCCCATTATGCGCACAACAAAAGGCATAGTTATCAATGTAAAAAACAGAAGTTTATTGTAAACAATTTACCGTATTTTCCGGCGTATAAGGCGACTGGATGTATAAGACGACCCCCTAATTCTCCAGTTAAAACATAGGTTTTGGGCTATACTCGCCGTATAAGACTACCCCCTTCCGAGGCAACACCATTTAAAAACATCAGATTTTTTAATTGAAATGGTACTTAAAATCCTTCAAAATCCTCATGTTCATCCTCTGACATCATAAGTTCATGAATGACATCTTGTGATACATTTGTAAGACAGTCATCATATGGATCAAATTCCAAATCAGATGGTTACCGCTGGATGTGCGGTAATACGGTAGCTTCGGCTACATACAGTATACAGTATATATACAGCCCGCTGGATGTGCAGTAATGTACATACAGTATACCGTGCTGAGCCAAGCTGGCTCAAAACAAATGTCCCTATGACAGATTAATCTGTCAGCCCGCTGGATGTGTGGTATATACAGTATACTGCGCTGAGCCAAGCTGGCTCAAAACAAATGTCCCTATGACAGATGGATGTGTGGTATATACAGTATACTGAGCCAAGCTGTTTCAAAATGTACCGGTACATCCCTACTGTGATCAGCCCGCTGGATGTGTGTATGTACCGTAGCTGCGGCTACATACAGTATACACTGGGCCAATCATGGCGAGTGATGTATTCTACTAATGAATACAAAGCCTGCTCGGATTGGCTGAGGTTGTGACATGAGCCCACCTCTCTGACTCAGCCAATCCGAGCATGCTTTGTATTCATTAGTAGAATACATCACTTGCCGTGACTGGCCCAGTGTATACTGTATGTAGCCACAGCTACCGTACATACACGCATCCAGCGGGCTGATTAAAGTAGGGATGTACCGGTACGTTTTGAAACCGCTTGGCTCAGTATACTGTATATACCACACATCCAGCGGGCTGACAGATTAATCTGTCATAGGGACATTTGTTTTGAGCCAGCTTGGCTCAGCACGGTATACTGTATGTACAGAATTACCACACATCCAGCCAGCTTGACCCAAACAAACTCAAGGTTCACATTTTATACCCCGCGTATAAGACGACCCCCAATTTTTGGGGTATATTTTTAAGTATAAAAAGTAGTCTTATATGCCAGAAAATATTGTATATATTAGAAATTGATGTATTTAGGAATATAATATGATAGAGGTTCTCTGTGTGGCTGTAATTTTAATTGCTTTAAAATTGTTTTTTAACGATATGGTGAACAAAAAATTTTTTGTATTTTTATATAACAAATTTGTAATTCTTGGGTACCTTAAAAGTCTACATCAGTCTACCCCCCCCCCCCCTCCTTTTTCTATTCCCCTTCCCTTCTTTTGCCTTCATGTTTTAATGATTTAACTAAACGTAAGGATTAAGCATTTTTTGTGAATGCAATTGTTGGTATTGAAAAGGTACTTCGCAGTTAGATTTATTTTCTTTTAAACCATTAATCAAAACCTTACGTACTGTACTATAGCTGGACTACACTATAGCTATACTGTTCTATAGGTCTATTAACCACTTCAAGTCCGAATACTTTCACCCCCTTCTTTTCCAGGCCAATTTTCAGCTTTCAGCGCTGTCACACTTTGAATGACAATTGCGCGGTCATGTAACACTGTATCCATATGAATTTTTTAGCATTTTCTGAGACAGATAAAACTTTATTTTGGTGGTATTTATTCACCACTGGGATTTTTATTTTTTTTTTCTATATAAATGAAAAAGTCCAAACATTTAAAAAAAAAAAAAGTGTTTTTCTTATAAACTTTTACAAATAAATAATCTTTCTTCATAAATCTTGGCCAAAATTTATTCAGTTATCTTTTTAGTAAAAACAAAGAACCCAAATTAGTTTATAACCAAAAATTATTTTTCTAAATTTTTTTTTACATTTCTATTTTATTTTTTTATTATTATTATTTATGTTTTTTTTTTTTTTTAAAACATACTGTCACCCTAGCAGTACAGTGTCACCATAGTGACACTGTACTACTTGTGGGGGGGTGATGAAGATTTTTGTTTTTTTACATTAATTGCTTTTACACCCATAAAGGCTGTAAAAGCAATCATTTCTCCTTCTCTCTGGCTGCATTCTTGCAGCCATTGAGAAATACTGTGAGAGCTGTGATTGGTCACAGCTTGTCACATGTGAATAGCCTTGTACCATGTGACCTCGGTGATCATTCACAGATTTCACAAGTAGTAAGCAATGATGTCAGAAGTGACATCTTCCTTACTACTATTCATGTGATCACTGATTGGCCAAATCAGTGATCACATAATCAGGACCTCTCACAGAGGTCCCGTACAGTGATTGGTGTTCAAATTCTGGACACAACAGGCACCAGATCGTGGTGCCACGTGCTCCCAGGGAGTGCGCCCAAGCAGGGAAGCAGGAGGACATTTATAAACGGCCACCCGCTCCTGCACTACTCCCCCGTCCGGCCGTTTATGTACATGGGCCGGATGGGAAGTGGTTAAGGCAACTCTGTACCAGCAGCAGATGGCAGGTCACCCTTACTGCTTCACAGCACATCGACATATATATTACTTACTATAGTATGATAGGGCACTCAACTTGGCCACATCTTTGAAAAAGTTAAAAATGTTTGTTTTATCTACTTGGTTCAAAATAAGAATATAAAAGTGACAGCAAACATAGATATCAGCTTTAAGATGCTTAAGTATGTTGCTGAGGGTCTAAAACATTTGAGGACAACACATTTGATACATCAGAGTTATGTTTATTGACCCTTCAAAATGAGCACTGATAAAGCGCTAACGAAATTCAGTGCATTGCTGATTTTGGATGGCTTCAGGAGTTGGAATATGGTCCTCATCACCAAGACATTCCAGGTCCATAGCTATCAAAAGACCAGCATAATGGGCCATATTGTGCAGAACACAACAAGCCAAAAACAGGCCCTCAGCTTTCTGTAGACTGTACGTTGAGAAAGAGATAAGCAACAGAAGCAGATCTTCAAACCACCAAATGTATGTTCCACTACAAAAGTTCTTGTATGTGTTGTGTTGTACCCTCCCTGCATCAAACAGGGAAAGTACAACAGGGCTGAATGATTAACAGCAGGGGCGGACTGACAACTCATGGGGCCCCTGGCAATAGGGGATCATGGGGCCCCTGTGTCCTTGCCCAAACTCAAAAAAAGCCTATGAAAAAGGTACCAGGGGCATCTCATGGGGCCCCCTACTGACCCCAGGCCCTCGGGCAGTGCCCGAGTTTCTAAATGGTCAGTCCGCCCCTGGTTAACAGTCATGATAGACATGGATTATCAGAATGACATACAACACATATAGAAAAACATAACCTATCACTCAGGGGATAAACGCATAGTGCCACATCCCAAACTACAATACAAAATACAGGACGGAGCAACCTCCAAGAATAGGGACTTTAAAGGCACTATGATAAGAAACAAGGACAAAGATTACTATAAAATTATATTTATTTATTAAGTCCATTTGAACGGTGGACCACCAATTCCACCACTTGATTGATAGATAATTATTAGGTAATAGTTGGTCATTTCAAGAAAAGCAAGTGACCGGCAATCAGTGATTACCTGGCTGCTGCTTTTCTTGAAATGACCGTTTGTGTTATGGGCAATGAAGCGCTAGATTAAACTTCTATAGGGTTACCATATGACCGCTTTTACCAATTTTTATATTGACCTATAGTGGATTGAAAGCTTGGTGGCAGACTTTGGGGGCTCATAGCTGACAACTAGTGTTGGTCCTGCCCATTCCTCTTCTCTGCGTGGCCCAGTACACAGCTTGTTTCCTCCCACCTCTCCTGTGGTGTGGAGGTGGATATAATGTGATGTGGCATCTATCTCTGGTAGTAGACATCGGTGTACAATATAGTGTTTGAACCAAATAGCAATTTTATAATTTAAGTGAATATTGTGATGACCACCGCAAGCCTTTGAAGGTGTGGGCTGCAAAACGAGTTTACAGAAGGATATGGAATTGTTAAATCTTCATATTATGCAAATTGTGGTCATGTGTTATTAATTTTCTATCAATCAAGTGGTGGAATTGATGGTCCACAGTTTTAATGGACTTTAACCGCCTCCCACCCACCAAATAAGGTAATGATGAGAAGGCGGTGGTTCTCTCGTTCTGGGAGGACGTCATATGACATCCTCCCACTCTAACTGCGTGTGCACACCCTCGGGGGCACGCGGCGTGGTAAGTGGCAGTGCTCTGTGTCCCTGGGACACACCGGATCACCGATCACAGTAAAGAGCTAATGATGTTGGCTGTGTAATGTGTCCAATCACAGCAGATCACATGTAAATAGGAAATGCCGGTTATCGGCAGTCCTCTCCTCCTGCTGACAGCTCGTGAGGAGAGGAGAGCCAGTAATCGGCACTACTCAGAGCGGACATCTACACTGATCATCAGGGCACTGATGATCAGTGCCCTGATGATCACTGTAGCCCCATCAGTGTCACCTGTCAGTGTCCATCAATGACACCTGTAAGTGCCCATCAATGCCACATACCAGTGCACATCAATGCCACATATCAATGCCCATCAGAGCTGCCTTTCAGTTCCACCTATCAGTGCCAGTCAGTGCCGCCTATCAGCGCCGCCAGTCAGTGCTGCCTATCAGTGCCAATCAATGCTGCCTATCAGTGCCCATCAGTGCTGCTTATAAGTGCCGCCTATCAGTGCCGCCTATCAGTGCCTGTCAGTGCCACCTAACAGTTCCAATCAGTGCAGCCTAAAAGTTCCAATCAGTGCCACCTATTAGTGCCAGTCAGTGTCACCTATCAGTGCCACCTATCAGTGCCCATCAATGCCGCCTATCAGTGCCATATATGAGTGCTGCCTTTCAGTGCCCATCAGTGATGCCTGTCAATGCCCACAAGTGATGCCTGTCCATGCCCATCAGTGCCACCTATCAGTGCCTCCTCATCAGTGCCATCTATCAGTGCCTCTTCATCAGTGCCCATCACTGCAGCCTCATTAGCGCACATTAGTGAAGGAGAAAAATTACTTATTTACAAAATTTTATAACAAAAACTAAGAAAAACATTTTCAGTCTTTTTTAGTTTGTTTAACAAAAAATAAAACCCCAGTGGTGATTAAATACTACCAAAAGAAAGCTCTGTCTCAAAAAAATGATAAAAACTTTATTTGGGTACAGTGTTGCATGACCGCGCAATTGTCATTCAAAGTGCGATAGTGCTGAAAGCTGAAAATTGGCTTGGGCAGGAAGGGGGTAAAAGTGTCCGGTAGGCAAGTGGTTAATACATAAATATAATTTTATAGTTAATCTTTGTCCTTGTTTCTTAGCATAGTGCCTTTAACCTCCCTGGCGGTATGATCATGTCAGGAATTTTGTGCTGAAAGCGGTACCATTTTTTTGCATGGAAATATGTAGTTTTTAATTGTAGGCTGTAATTTTTAGGAATAACTCACTGAAATCTATCCGAAAAAGAGTCTATTAAACATTCCGGATATGATAAAACTTGAAACACGAAATCATAAATTATAATTTAATAAATAATCATAAAAAATAATAATATAATAATAATAAATTTAATTCAATAATATAATCAAACCAAAAACACTGAAATTTGAAATACAGAGGCAAATTCGCACATCGCTGAGCAAAGTCGCAAAATCGTTTTCAGTGTCTGATGACGAATTTCCCCACAAATCATTATCACTCAATTCTGCAAGTGGTTCTGATTTACTATCGCTGTTCTAAAACCGCTTTTGATGTAAAGGGACGCTTTTTGGCCGCCATGGACTTTTCTAAGTTTCCAGGCAGAAAGAACAGTCAAAATGCAGGCAGGGCACAGGACAAAGCAGTGGGGACAAAATGTATGTGAAATGCAGTGAAAAAACAATGACAGCAAAAATGTCATTTTTAAAAAATTTCAAATTTCCCGCCGGTTCCGCCGCCTGAACGTTCTGACGTCACGGGGACCGAAACACGGAAGTCAGATGCCGGCATCCGCCGGAGGAGATGGACGGGGACACTGCAGGGGACCCATCGTGGGAGCGAAGGACAAGGTAAGTGCTGCAGGAACCCCCAGAGAACGCTGCATAGTAAGCCCGAGTGTAGCTCGGGGTTACCGTTCTTGGTATAGAAATTCTACCCCGAGCTACACTCGGGAACACCGCCAAGGAGGTTAAAGTCCCTATTCTTGGAGGTTGCTCCGTACTGTATTTTGTATACAACACATATAGGTATTTTGCTTTAACCGCTTCCCATCCGCCCTATAGCAGAAATACTGCTACAGGGTGGCACAGGTGTGCAAAATTACGTATATATATGTGAATTTGCATCTCCAGGTAGGGGGCACACATGAGGCGCACGTGCACCCTACCCGCACTGCCATTCGGCTGTCAATCACGTGATTACTCGCCGACACACGGTGATTGCTGAGGATCTCCTTCCTGTTGGCTTGTGCACACTGCTTTGCATGGCTGTGCACAGTACAGCCATGCAAAGCAGTGTGCTTACAGTGAAGCACACACAACCCCATAGTAAAACACACCCAGCACACAGTTAACCCTTTGATCACCCCTTATGTTAACCCCTTCCTGCCCAGTGCCATTAGTACAGTGTCAGTGTTTTTTTTTAGCACTGATCACTGTATTAGTGGCACTGGGGTGTCAGTGACACCAAGTTGAGTCCCTCCAGTGTCAGAATGTCTGCCGCAGTCCCGCTAAAAGTTGGTGATCGCCACTATTACTAGTAGAAAAATAAAAATCCCATTATCTATACAGCCTTTTGTAAACGCTATATCTTTCACGTAAACCATTTAATTTACATGTATTGGGATGGTTCTTTTTTTAGCAAAGACATGTCGCAGAATACATTTTGGCCTAAATTTATGACGAAATTAGATTTTTTTAGCACTGATCACTGTATTGGTATCACCGGGGATGTCAGTGACACCAAGTCATTTTCCCCCAGTGTCAGAATGCCCGCCTCAGTCCCGCTATAAGTTGCCGATCGCCACCATTACTAGTAAAAATAAAAAAATTAAATTCCATTATCTATATCTCCATTTGTAAACACTATAACTTTCACATAAACCAATTAATTTACACATATTGGGATTTTTGTTTGACATGTAGCAGAATACATATTGATCTAAATTTATGATGAAATTTGATGTTTTAAATTTTTTCACTGGACACTTTTAATAGCAAAAAATCAAAAATATTGTTTTTTTTCTCAAAATTGTCAGTCTTTTTGCTTTATAGCACAAAAAATTAAAACCGCACAGGCAATCAAATACCACCAAAAGAAAGCTCAATTGTGGGAAAAAAAAGTGTAAATTTAGTTTGGGTGCAGAGTTGCATGACCGCGCAATTGTCCGTTAAAGTAACGCAGCGCCGTAACACAAAAAATGGCCTGGTCAGGAAGGGGAGTAAATCCTCAGGAGGGCAATTTTAATGATCTTATGATTATGTTTAGGTAAGTTTCCTTTGTGTTAGTAAATTTTATTTAATTGCGCACATAACATGTATACATGATGAGTGAGATTAGGAACATATACAAAGCTTCAAATGACATTACTATCCTAATACAAGTTCTATTATTAGGAATGATAGATTCTGTATACATGTGTGGTTTAATCAGTAGCAGCCAGGGGCGGACTGACCATTTGGAAACTCGGGCACTGCCGAGGGCCCGAGGTCAGTGGGGGGCCCATGAGATGCCCCTGGTACCTTTTTCATAGGCTTTTTTGAGTTTAGCAAGGACACAGGGGCCCCATGATCCCCTATTGCCTGGGGGCCCCATGAGTTGTCAGTCAGCCCCTGGTAGCAGCACATACATTTATATTTATATATATATTTATCCGCCATGGACAGAAAATGGTGTGACATGCAGCCACTAATTACTACAGGTAAAAGCAAATCTTCATGTTGAAAAACCTCTGTTGATCTTTTAGGGACACATCCATTACTGTTGATGTACAAAAAGTACAAGCCCAATTGTGCATTGCTACATTATATGTAAGTTTGGAAACCCAAAAAGCTGCTGAACATGTTTATATTTGATTGTAAAACGATTTCTAACACCACCATCAGTCCCACCCCGCAAGCCAAAGTCCTAGGTGTCACTCTAGACTCAGACCTGTCCTCCCAACCCCATGTCCAATCGTTGGCAAACTCATGCAGGCTCCACCTCCGCAACATCTCCAAAATACGTTCGTTCCTAACCCCAGACACTACTAAACAACTCGTTCACTACCTTATTATCTCACGTCTGGACTACTGCAACTCTCTACTCGCCGGCCTACCTCATCACAGACTATCCCTGCTTCAGTCTATCCTGAACTCTGCGGCCAGACTCATCCACCTTACCAACCGCTCCACTTCTGCCACCCCCCCTCTGCCATTCCCTCCATTGGCTTCCGATTGCCCAACGCATTAAATTCAAACTACTAACACTGACATACAAAGCCATTCATAACGCTGCCCCAAACTACCTCACCGACCTGATACCCAAATACCACCCAAACCGTACTCTTCGCTCCTCACAAGACCTCCTACTTTCTAGCTCCCTGGTTTCCTTCTCCCACGCCTGACTGCTGGACTTTTCCAGGACTTCCCCCATCCTCTGAAACTCAGTACCTCAATCCATCAGACTGTCACCTACCCTCCTCACCTTTAGGCGCACCTGAAAACCCATCTCTTCAGGGAAGCCTACCTTGCCCTCACCTAACAGCCGATATCTCCTCCACTCCTCATACCACTCCATCCCCCACAGCTATTTCCTCCTGTACCACTATCCCCTCCCTCCTAGATTGTAAGCTCCAAGGAGCAGGGCCCTCGAACCCCTCTCGTGTATTGTATTGTTACTGTATTGTCTCATGTACTGTCTCCCACTATAATGTACAGCGCTGAGCAAACCTTTCTGGCGCTATATAAATACTGTATAATAATAATAATAATTTCTGAACACAGCTGTACAAACACGTCACCCCTTCTGTGCTCATACACAACCATCAAAAACACCTATACGCTGATGTGTAAGAGGGATAACGATGGAGCCTGTTCAGGTTGGTACACAATATTATATATGCAGTATATGTGAATAAATATTACACATGTGCGTACACATCATTTACTGAGAAGCCAGCCAACACTTAAGGTCAATTCATACTATATGCAGTGACAAACGTTTTACTGCATGGTATGCACATGCTCAGTTTGGTGTGTATTGCTACAGAGGTTTTTGTTTTTCCTTGGAAGAGTGTATGTGATCAGCACAGGGCCAATCAGCACTGTCCAGAAGTCAAGGGTATTGCATCCTGCTACAGCAGAAAGCAAACTCCTCCTACAAGCTTTAACCAGTGCTCTGCTGGACACTGATAGAGGTCACAAGACTGCTTTAACCTCTGATGAGAAAAGGTATTTAGCAGTTTATATTTACTAAAATAATTGCATTTCCATGTTGTGTGTACTGTGGGAGACCAGATATAGTGAATGCAGGGACCTGGGTTTAGTAACACTTTAAGTCATGCATGGTATGGCAGGACTGTGCAGTGCGCTGGTCCCTAGAAAGCTGCGTACAGTCTCATATTTAGCTCCATCATTAAACAAAACCTTTTCAGTGTGTGTGTTTCACTGAATTCATTCAGCAGGATGCACACATGAAAATATCATTTTTTGACATCACCACTACCCTTCTCTGTATCCTCTTTCTTATTACCTTTTTTCCAGCAAGGTGTTCTCAGATACGTTCATTGCTGTAGGTTAGGACTGCTGTACACTTTATGGCCCCTTTGACATGGCTGTTCCAGTCAGGTCCACCTGTCAGTTTGACAGGTGGACCTGATCAGATGGTCCATTCATCTCTATGAAGCGATGGGTATAAACA